GTGTGTGTGTGTGTGTGTGTGTGTGTGTGTGTGTGTGTGTGTGTGTGCGTGTGCGTGCGCGCGCATGTGTTTGCCAGAAAAATCAAGAAAACTTAAAAGAAAGAATTCTAAAACGAGAAATTGTCTAAGTCCACTTGATTAACCATCAAGTTGAAGAACAACTGTTGCAGACAACAAAGTGACATCACTGCTAAAATGAAAAGGACTACGAGAAACTAACTTTCCACCAAGTGCAACAAAAACAAAGCAGCTGGAAAAGCTCAGCAGGTCTGGCTAAATCTGTGAGGGAAAACACAGAGTTAACTTTTCGGGTCCGGTGCCCTTCCTCAGAACTGCTGAGTTCTGAGGAAGGGTCACCGGACCCGAAATGTTAACTCTGTGCTTTCCTTCACAGATGTTGCCAGACCTGCTGAGCTTTTCCAGCAGCTTTGTTTTTGTTCCTGATTTACAGCATCTGCAGGTCTTTCAGTTTTTATTTACTTTCGACCAAGTGGTTTGGTCTTTTCATCTGGTGCCAAGCTTCTTCGGTATTGTTGAAGCTGCACTCATCCAAGTGTAGCGTATTACATCACACACTTGACTTGAGCCTTGTAGATGGACAGGTTTTGGAAGCTGTGGGTAATTTGTTTCTTGCAGAATTCTCAGTCTCTGACCTTTTTTTTTAAGCCAGTGTTTATGTGACTCACCAGTTAATTTTCTGGTCAATGGAAATCCTAGAATTCTGATAATGGGGATTCAGTGATGGTAATGCTGTTGAATATCAAGAGGAGGAGGAGGAGGATTCCCTCTGATTGAAGATGGTCATTGTAGCATGAATGCCCAAGGCCACTTATCAGCCCAAGCCACTGTGCTGTCCAGATCCTGCTGTACATGCAAATGCTGGTGAGCATGCCTACTTTTTGACCTTAAGATTTGGGTGAGACAAGGTGAGGATTGGGGAAAAGAGGAGGGGAGACTGGAAACATCATTGATGATGAAGCTGAAGATAGTGAGTTTAGAATATTATCCTGAGGAATTCATACAGCAATGTCAAAGGGTTGAGATAATTGGTCTCCACAACCATGAGCATCTTCCTCTGTGTGAGTATGACTCCAACTAATGGATGGGTTTTTGCTTTGTTCGCATTTACTTCAATTTTGCTAGGGTACCTTAGTGTTACACGCAGTTCAAATAATTTCTTAATATCAAGGGCAATCACTATTGCCTCATAGTTATATATATCTGAGCATATTGTACAGGGTATGAAATTTGTGCAAGGCGTTGATCATTTGACTGAATATATAAAATTAGAACTTGCATACAAATTTTGGTATAATTCAAACACTTAATTTGAAAGCTTTTAATCCTAAAATTTGTTTGCACTTTTGCCTTCCGACAATCTTCCGACTTGAATTTCCAGTCAGTTCATTTATTTAGATTGTTGAAACTCACTGATGTGGTTTTTAGATTTAGAGCATTCAAGATAAATTTCAGACGCAGTACTGCCATTTCAACTACAGCAGGCAGCAATTGGAAGTTACAAAATCAGAAATTGCTGGAAAAACTCAGCAGATCTGGCAGCATCTGTGAAGAGAAAGCAAGAGTTAACGTTTCAGGTCCAGTGACCCTCCTTCAGACTTGGAAGCAATTGGAGGTTTCTGCATCTGAAGGATTTATCAAATTTCTGTACCTGAGAAAGAGAACTTGTATTTCTTTCTGGCATTCTGTATACAGGGGCCTTGAATCAATTCTCAATGCTTCTGTCGATGTGAGATTTTTGCGAAATTTTCAGCCTCAGACTTATGTTGAGAGCTTCTTGGGAAGAGGAATAATATTGTCCTGGAAGCATATTTTTATAAGCCTATATCATGGAGGAGGAGGAAAATCAAGAAGAATAATGCGGTAGGCCAAGTAAGACAATAGGAAACTGATCAAATACCACATCTCTCAAAAATATATGGACAACCTGTGTAAGGAGATGTGTTTTGGATTGTTTAGTTGTTTAGATGCTGATGTAAACAAATACATCAGTTTCTTTCTATTCATGTTTTATTATTTTTGTACAGTTTTGGTTCTTCCTTTTTCAATCATTCTTTAGTGTTTCAGTTTGAAAGTGGCCAAATACATTTTGTATTAGAATTCTATTGAGAAAAGGGAACTCAAGCTAGATTTACCACACATCTCAGAGTTCAAAGATTAGTATATCAAACAGAAATTATGAACAAACTGACGTCCTAACCAATGTAAGTAAACAGAAACTAAGAATGTTGGAAATGTACAAAAGGTCTGTCTAGAAATGAAAGGAAGAAGTGAACATTTTGAATAGAGTTGAATAGGTCTGACAAAGAGTACAGAAATTTTCCCTCCTGAGAAATAGCGGGAAGGGCAGATATTTGGGTGGGTTGGCACTGGAAACTTACTCATCCTCTATACTCAACCTCAGAAATTAAGTTCTGGGCAGCAAGGTCCATGATAGCCTTTCCCAATGTCCTGCCAATTAAGGACCTTATGTGGTCAATTAACAACCACTTAAGTGCTTCAGCCTGCCTAGGCTACAATTCCCTCAGCTTTGGTTGGGACCACATGTGAACCAATGTGGGTAACTATCAGTTAGGGGAAGGAGAGGAGGTTCCCTTGATCAGCATTAATTTGTGCAAGGTTGAGGGACTCAACATTGGACAAGCAGGGTGGTCTCAGGGTAAGTCACCACTCTGACCGCGCCCCTCAACTCTGTGAACCTCAATCCCAGAAAACCTACAAAACATATCTTTCGCGACTCTGTTCCTCCATCTGGGAGTTTAGCTGGTGGTGTCCTGGCACAGCCATGCCATCTGCCACGGCACTCAGTGTTGGAGAAGCCAGACTTTGATTTGCCATCAATTCCAAGCAATCAGGGTTTCTTGGTCGAGCTTTGGAATTCCAGTAAAAAAAAGTCCAGCATCACTCATCACTTAGCTGCCTAATTTTGATCCAGAGGCTTTCTGAATAAGGTCAGTTGCACTTTTCTCTCCCTCAAACCTTCCTGTAAATATTAAAATTCCAGCCTGAGTCTCCAGCTAAGACTTTAAATTGTTTATTGTTTCAAATACTGATGGAAGAAAGTATTGCCAAGCATTACCTGTTGTTATTTCAGAATTTTGTTTTAATCTCAGAAGTAGGCAATAATATTGATGCTATCAAAATACAATGTAATCTCTTTAGTTCTGACACCTACTGCTTGGAAACACCAGAGGTCTGGAAATATTTCAAGCAGATCAAAGCATCATTTTAGGACAATACTCTGAGACAGAAGCGCGGAAGATACTATACTTGGATAACTGGAAAGTATCAAACAATTTTAATTATTACTTCTTGGAAAAAACAGCTTTTTAATATTTCAGGTAAATATTTTTAGTGTTTTAGTTTATGGTTATGCATTCTCATGTCATGGATAAGCCATGAAATTCTGAAATTCAGAAATAACTTAATCCTAAACATTCTTAATTGGAGAATTTCAGTTATTTATTCTAATTAATCAAAAGTTATAACCTTTAAGATCTGTATGTCCAGACTTTCAGCTTCTTCTCTTAAATTTTCCAGTAGTTTACTTAGTTCCTTAGTAAGGTACTGCCTATTGAAAATAAAATACATAAGCAACATGCCTCAAAAAATTATTTAGGCAACAATAAAGTTAAGCACATTTTCAAAATGTGGACAATTAAATTACCCCACATAACGATTTAATTATATAGAACTTATACCGAACTTATATAAAACACAGTCATGGCTTAAGTAGCAAATCCTATAACCTGTTATAAGAGCTAAGAAAGAATAACATTAGACGATTAATCACTGTATGCGCTAGATTGGATCTATACAAAGCGTGCAGACTTTGATTCAAACAAAAAAGCAGTTATCTTTTATAACATTAAAACAAAACTGTTCCTAATTAGCCATGGAAGTTCCAGGAAGTTCCAGGAATCCATCCCTTATAATTTCAGATGTGTTTTGGAATTAAAATTGCAACATTTGAATTTCTCCCCAGTTTGAAGCAAATATGATCATATTTCCTTCTTACCTCCTCCTCCTATCCACCAACTCTTGCCTCTCCACCTTCACCTCTCAATTCTACTCCCCAGGAATGCACCCTCCAAATTCTGTTCTGGAGTCCCTCAGAAATTTATTTTAGCTAGCAATCCCTTTTGTGGGGTCATTCACATGAGGCAAGTTAAAGGGACAACTTGTGTGAGAACCTTCGCAGTCATGTAGCTTAGAAAGAACATTACTCTTCACCCCTCATCTCCTCTCTCCATCACCCTACCCTTAATTCTCCGCTCTCCCATGGTCTCGCACTCTCTCATCCCTCACCATCCCTTCCTCATCCTTCTATTGGTCACTAATCCATTTCACCCCATCCCCAGCAACAAAAAACTTTCAGCTATGACTAAATTTGTGCAAGCATCAGTATCATTCTATAATGAACTTTCTAATAATACTTCACGTAATGGCTTTGTTTTATTACTTCTGAGCATTTAGTTGTTCAGCTAGTTCCAAATCTTCACTGTAATTTGTTTGAAGATTGAGTTCATTCTTATCCAAATCTTTTATTTGCATTTCCAGATTTTCATGCACCTGCAAAAAGTGGGAGATTGTACAGTTCACCTCAGTGATTTAAATTAAAATTATTCTATCAAGTACAAATGGAAATATAAATATGAAATTAATCATCCTAATAAGTATGAACCAATTTTCAAAAAAGATTAAATTACAGCCTTCAGCCCATCTTTTCAGTTCGCTGTTCTTCACTTCTGAATTTAGATTAAACTGGATTCTCCCTTACATCTGCTCTATCACTGGTACCAAAGCCTTTAATTACCTTGACCTTGCTCAATACTCTTTCAGCGTGCTTCATCATCTTCAAAAGCTTCTACACAGCACTGTGTACTACACTTCTACACTGCTCCCAAATTCACTCTTAGTAACATCATTTTTCAGTCTCACACCCATATATTTGTGGATATTTTCTGACATGAAAGATCTTATAATTATACTTTTTTTTAATACTAAAAATACATAATTCTTTATTCTTACAGAAATAAAACACATGTGCCTGAAAGCTGTTGTCATCTAATAAGCAATAAATGATATTTGTAATACATTGTGATGTGTCTTGCTCAATTTTAAAAATTTAGACAGTAGTGGCCAGTCAGGATTAATTAACAAGATGAATCTTCATTTCTGCAGATAAGCTATGATTGGATATTCATGAAAGCCCACTACCACAGCTCCCTTAAAAACCCTTCCTCACAGCCAACTTCCTGCAAATTCTCCAAGTCCCTTCATCTTCAGTGCAACCATTTTTACTTTGAAACCTCCACACCAGCACTTATGATATACTTTCCCCCTCTGTTTAATGAGCATTCAGCCGCATCATGGTTGGCAAGACCATGTTTGTCTCAATTCCCCTACTTCTGCTTACACCACTTTCCCTCAATTATGGAACCATACTAGGTCTCCTCGTATCTTCTGTTTGCACTCACCAGCTTCTATATTCACTAGATCATCCCTGACCATTTCTGCCAACTCCAGCATGAAGCTAACAAACACAGTCTCTATTTTCTGAAGAAGGGTCTAGGCCCGAATCGTTAGCTTTCCTGCTCCTCTAATGCTGCTTGGCCTGCTGTGTTCATCCAGCTCTACACCTTGCTATCACAGTCTCCTTCTTTCTGTTTTCTGTATCCCCAAGGGCTGGTTCCCTCTAAAACACCATGTTTCAGTCCTCAGTTATCACTAACACACGATTTGCATCTTTAGACAAAAGGTGGCAAATGGATAATCCATGTCAGTCTCCTTCCCAGATGCCAGTCTGCAGCCAACTTGATTCATTTCACATGACATTAAGAAAGGGCTTAATGAACTAAATATAGCAAACTGTCTGGGTCCTGACAACATCTCAATAGCATCAAACAGTTTAGTTATACACCATAACCTCTTGCCGACAATGGGTAAAATTGTCCAGTTATGTCCTGTTCAGTCAATTACTTCCCCAGATTGTGGCATTAAGGAGAGGTAGCAAAATTTAAGTCAATGGGAATTGGGGGTAAACAGAAAGACTTCAGAAAAGTAAAAAGTGAAATACTTCAGTGTTGTTAGCAGAAAAGCTTTGAAGCTGTAAAGTGTGAGCATAGCAGTGTAGATTCACAAGTCGAACAAAAGTTGAGGTGTAACATTAAAGAGAACCAGGTTGACGACTGACCAGTGAGTAATTCTTATTTATTGTATCTGAATTAAGGATAGATAGAACATATACAAAGAAGAACATAAACACATGCAAAACCAAATACATTAATTAGAATTTTAAAATAGCTAATTAAAATGTAATAAAGAAGACTGGGCAGGTGATATGTTGTGGCTGCAGTATGTGTTATGCTGGTGTAATCCAAAGTAAACAACTCTGCAATAAGTGTCTGTGACTCAAAGGTCAGCTCAGTGTCCCTGAGTGAGATGCCAAGCTTTAAGCACTGGAATGCTTCAGGGTCACTTGACCTGAAATGTTAACGCTGATTTCCCTCCACAGATGCTGTCAGACCTGCTGAGCTTTTCCATCAATTTCTTGTTTTTGAGGCTGTGTTGCTTTCCTGGTTCCAGGATTCAGGATATCTACTCAAGGCTGGAGGGGAAATAAATGGGAGGGGAAGAATCCAGTTGTGATCATGTACATAACAATGACAATAATTAGGGCTAGGTAAGAATTTTGGCATCAGAAGTATGAGCAGTTGGGGCTAAATTAAAAAGCATAACAACAAAAGTAAGAATTTCTACTAAAGCCATATGTTCTTTCAGCTATAATACTCTGCAATGTTTGCTGCCAAAGTGGATAACCTCACCTTTATCCACCATGTCGTCTACCATGTATTTGCCCATTCCTCCAGCCTGTCCAAGTGACACTACAATATCTCTGCACCCTCCTCACAGCTCACCCTTCTACTCAGCTTTGTGTCAACTACAAATTTTGAGATATTATCTTTAGTTCCATCATCTAAATTATTAACATATATTGGAATAGTACCGCTCTCTGCAGTATCCCATTAGTCACTGCCGGCCATTCAAAAAAAGACCAATTTATTCCTACTTGCTGTTTCCTGTCTGCTAACCAATTTTCTTTCCATCTCAATACACGACCCCAAACTCCATGTGCTTATTAGTCCAATCAATAGCTGGGGTGTAAAAAGAATCAAAAATTAATCTGATTCGTTTTTAAATACTTTGCATGAAAAGACTCAATACATACATAGAAGTTACAACAGAAAAATAGTCCAAATCAGTATGTACTCTTCATACATTAAATATGGAGAAATGTTGTGTTACAAGCACATTATTCAAATGTAACATATCGAAAAATATGCAACTTCATAGTAGGTACATAACTACAAGTGTCTGAAGCCCAGGCCAAATGATTCAATTCAAATATCAGCATTTTGTGTATTTTATTTGTATATTTGTTAGATTGATTCAAGAACTGCTTCTTCCCTGCTGCTATCAGACTCTCTAATTTCAAAGGTACATGTGCCAACAATAAACCAATGATTGATAGCTTGAGATATTATCATTTCAAAATATTCCAGCTACAATTATTTTGTTGACATTGGATAATCTGTGTCAAAACATCAGAGAAATAGTTCCGACCAGAGGTACTTGGTGGAGATCAGCTGCACTTTGATTCAGTTCTCAAGCATGACTCCCATGCTTCTAGTCTCCTGTATAAAGTTCTCCTCTCATTTCAATTCTGAACTTTGTCACTTACCATTCCAATGAAGTTCAATATGAGCCTGAGGAATAGCACCTCATCTTTCATTAGGCACTTCACAGCCTTTCAGATACAACATGGAGTTCAACAATTTCAGATCATTACCTCTGCCCACTCACTTCTTTGTTTCTTTTTAATTTTAATGTGAAAGCTCCCAGCATTTTCTGTTAAGATTTCAGATTAAGGTTTCTAGCATCTACAATGCTTTGCTTTTTCACTGATGATGTTTTAAGTGTAACTGTAAATCTTACCACTTTCTGGTATGTCAAGTTATCATTCAATTTCTGCAATTCCATATTCATCTCATCAAGTTTTCTTTTCTTCTCAACATTTGCTGCGTTCTGATTCTGAACCAGAAGTTGAACATTTTCAAGCTAAAATAATAAAAGAAAATCCAAACTTTATGTTTATAACAACCATGCTGAGTTTAAGCATTTTGTTGAAAACTAAGTTCAAGTAACACCTATACTCAAGCAAACAAAAATCTCTCCTCTGGAGATTTCGACCTACAAAGACAGCCTTGATTTTTCTCTGCAGAGGGGATCAGGCAGTTAGATGGCAACATGCTTCTATTCCGAGACTTATTCTGTTGGCCATGTTCACTAACTTTCCTACAAATCTCAATAAAATTGATGGAAATTAGTGCACACAACTGGGGCCAAGAAATGAACTAAACTCACCAAAGGCTGAATTTTTATCTTCTGACGCTGAAAAAAAACCCTGTCAGAAGAATGAAATTGGAGGTGTTGCATTTTAAAATTTCAGCTCCACTTCCCGATATCTTCCATTTTTGTTTGGATCATGATCTGCTATAATTCCTGACCTATGTTTAAAGTGGCATTGGGTTCACAATTTAAATCCCTGCTTGGAGCTCAAATTTTCATTCCCATGGATTTTTTTGTATAGGGTGGGTTCCTGAAGCTTGTAGGAACATCAACAGATAAGTCGGTCCATGAATTTTGAGGGATGCTTGCGGTAAAGTCTGATTATCTTTTGACAGTTAAGTTTGAAATGTCCTGTCAATACCTTCTCCCATCTTTGTGTTCTTCTCTTTCACCTCATATTCCTCTTGCCCCTTCATACCAAATACCTCGCCCACTCTCATGCCCCGTTTCATTACATTATGCCTGCTCCAACATTTTCTTACCACTTCGATTACCCCCAAGCAATGATGCAACATCAACACCTATTTTGTTCAGTATCCAGTATGTACAGAACCTAATAGCCACTAGCTAGTGTATGAAATGTTCATGCAACTGAGAATATAAGCAAACACACTTTGAAAATCCTCTTTAGGAAAAGAAAATAATGTTCATCTTACCATCACAAAGTACCATTCACATACAGCCATTTATGTTATCAATGACAAAAGCTTTCATTCTTTTAACATATAATCTTGGGCAAGTAAACAAATCAGCATTGAAAACACAATAAAGAATTTTATTACAACCTTATAACCCCTCCATTTAACAAGAAAGCTTTAAAGAAAACTGGGAATTTTAGATCAGTCATCCTGACGTCAGTATTGAGAAAAACTCTGGAGTCCATTGTAAAAAGCAGAGCACTTGGAAAAACATAGCAGGATAGGACAGAGTTAGTGTAGATTAATGAAAGGGAAATCATGCTTGACAAATCCACTGGAATTCTTTGAGAATATAACTAGCAGAGTTGATGATGGGAAACCAGTGAATGTTGTTCACTTGGACTTTGAGAAGGCTTTCGACAAAGTCTTACATCAGAGCATGTAAAGTTAAAGCTTGTGGTCAGTGTACTGAGATGGATAGAAAATTGGTTGGAAGACAAGAAACATAAAATAGGAATGAATTGGGTCCTTTTCCAAATGGCAGGCAGTGACTAGTGGGGTACCGCAGAGATTAGTTCTAGGACCCCAGCTATTCATACTATACATCTTAATGATTTAGATGAGAGAACTAAATATAATATCTCCAAATCTGCAGATGACACAAAGCTGATTGGGAGGGCAAGCTGTGAGGAAGATGCAGAGATGCTTCAGTATGATTTGGACAAGTTGAGTGATGGGCAAGGCAGATGCAATACAATGTGGATAAATGTGAGGTTATCCACTTTGACAGCAAAAACAGGAAGCCAATTACCTGAATGGCTATAAATTGAGAGAGGGGAATGTGCAACAAGACCTGGGTGACCTCACAAACTACTAGGTGAAGATAAGCATGCAGATAAAGAAGACAAGTGTTATGTTGGCCTTCATTGCGAGAGGATTTTAATGCAGGAGCAGGGATGTCTTGCTGCAATTATACAGGGCCTTGGTGATAACTTATGGAATATTGTGTGCGGTTCTCGTTTCCTTGACTGAATAAGGATTTTCTTGCCGAAGGAGTAGTCCAGTGAAGATTAACCAGACTGATTCCTGAAACTATGGGAATGTATTAACTGGAGTTCCGGAGAATGGTATAGGTGGGTTGGAAGATCTTATACAAACGTTTAAAATTCTAACAGGATTGGGCAGGATAGTTGCAGGAAGGATGTTCCTGATGGTGGGGGCAGGTACCGAGATGAGGAGAAATTTCCTTACCCTGAAAGTGTTGAGCCTGTGCAATTTGCTACCACAGAAAGTGGTCAAGACCAAAACATTGTATGAATTCAAGGAGGAGTTAGGTTTAGCACTTGGGCTAAAGGGATCAAAGGATATGGCAAAATGTGGGAACAGGCTATTGCATTGGATGATCAGTCATGACCATAATGAAACGTGGAGCGGAATCGAGGGGCAGAATGGCCTAATTCCTGCTGCTGTTTTCTGTGTCCATCTGTCAAAGAAACGAAGAAAATTACAGCACAGGAACAGGCCCTTTGGCCCTCCAAGCCTGCATTGACATGCTGCCCATCACAACTAAAACCCCCTACCCTTTCGGGGACCATATCCCTCTATTCCCATCCTATTCGTGTATCTGTCAAGACGCCCTTTAAATGTCACTATAGTATCTGCTTCCACTACCTCCCCCGGCAGCGAGTTCCAGGCACCCACCACCCTCTGTGTAAAAAACTTGCCTCATACATCACCTTTAAACCTGGCCCCTCACACCTTAAACCTATGGCCCCTAGTAACTGACTCTTCCACCCTGAGAAAAAGCTTCTGACTGTCTAGTCTGTCCATGCCCTTCATAATCTTGTAGACCTCGATCAGGTCGCCCCTCAACCTCCGTTGTTCCAGTGAGAACAACCCAAGTTTCTCCAACCTCTCCTTGTAGCTAATGCCCTCCATACCAGGCAACATCCTGGTAAACCTTTTCTGTACTCTCTCCAAAGCTACCACATTCTTCTGGTAGTGTGGCGACCAGAATTGAACACAATACTCCAAATGTGGCCTAACTAAGATTCTATAAAGTTGCAACATTACCTGCCAATTTTTAAATGCCCTGGCCGATGAAGGCAAGCATGCCATATACCTTGTTGACTACCTTCTCCACCTGTGTACCTGTACACCCAGATCCCTCTGCCTATCAGTACTCTTAAGGGTTCTGCCATTTACTGTATATTTTCCAACTGGATTAGACCTTCCAAAATGCATTACCTCACATTTTTTCGAATTAGACTCCATTTGCCATCTCACTGCCCAAGTCACGGTCCTCATCGCTATCCGCAATTCCACCAGCCTTTGGGTCATCAGCAAACTTACTAATCAGACCAGTTACATTTTCTTCCAAACCATTTATATATATTACAAACAGCAAAGGTCCCAACACTGATCCGTGAGGAATGCCATTAGTCACAGCCCTCCATTTAGAAATACACCCTTCCACTGCTACTCTCTGTCTTCTATGACCGAGCCAGTTTTTTTTTTAATCTATCTTGTAAGCTCACCTCTGACCCCGTGTGACTTTACCTTCTGTATCAGGCTGCCATGAGGGGCCTTGTCAAAGGCCTTACTGAAGTATGTAGACAACATCCACTGCCCTACCCTCATCGATCATCTTTGTCACTTCCTCAAAAAAACTCAACCAAGTTAGTGAGACACGACCTCCCCTTCACAAAACCATGTTGCCTCTCGCTAATACACCCACTGATTTCCAAATGGGAGTAAATCCTGTCTCGAAGAGTCCTCTCCAATAATTTCCCTACCACTGACGTAAGGCTCACCAGCCTGTAATTAGCTGGATTATCCTTGCCACCCTTCTTAAACAAAGGAACAACTTGGTTATTCTCCAATCCTCAGGGACCTCCCCTGCAGCCAGTGAGGATACAAAGAATTTCCTCAAGGCCCCAGCAATTTCCTCCCTTACCTCTCTCATTCTTAATCAAATAAAGCTGTCAATCAAATAAAGCTAGCACTCCTTTTTGTAAATGTGCAAACATACTCCTTTTGAATCGAATCCATTAGCAATCTTGTAGCTCAGCCAAATAGCCATGATGAGGTCATTTGGAAATCCAGATATTTGGACATTTGTTCAACATACTTATAATAATTTGGCAGATAGGCTCATTTTGAATGCCAGGCTAATTTCCAACAACTGTTAATAGACACGGCATAGCAGGAATCTACTTATAGTAAATGGAGTTTCTAACTGTGTGCATTAAACTCATAATCTTCTGGATTTGCATGTAGGTGGGGAGGAAATGGAGTACAAATACAAAGAAAATTAGAGGTAGCTGATACATAAAACGTCCAGAGAAACTTATTGAATTAAAATCAATTAAGTTCTGCATTTAAATTTCTGGTTCAATGCATTTTTGTTAATTTTCATTTTTCTTTAAACTATAACAAGAAATTACCTCTGCAGTCAGGATTTCTTTTTCTGCTTCAAATTTTCTCCGTTTCTCATCTAGCGCATATTTCAAACTTGTGATATCTTTCCTTATAAAAATAACTTTCTGTTGAATATCTCGTACATTGTCATATGTTTCATTCAATGTAATTTGGTCACTGGTTCGCTTGTCCATCACATCATTTAATAAGACGACAACGTCGGCATGTTGTACTCCTTCCTTTTGTCGTACAGGACTGAGAAAAGGAATGATAGAGAAAATAGCAGTGAAAGATGAAAAAAAGTGGTTAATCCTAATGTAGTCAATGGCATAGAAAAAATTATTTGGTATTCCGATGGCCACATAGTCATTGCAGCAGAGCAGACGAGAATTGTCTATCGGGGTCCTTTGATTCCCAATCACTGTGGCTCCTTGTGAATTGGCTATTGGAGGTTTTAAAGCACAATCCCCCTACATCTCAACCTTCCAAACATCTCCCTAACATCATAGAATTCAGGAGTGTTTGGCTTCCATTAATGATTAGCCAGGATAAATTGAAGAATTAAAAACCTAGTTTAACTGCTGGATAATTATTAAGTTGTCCCCCACAACTTACCCCAAATTGCCTTGTATCTTCAACTATACCTCTCCCTGATCCCTTCTACCTCAGGACCACTAACCACTCAATTGCCTCTAGCCCTACTGATTTGAACCCACCAACTCAACAAAATTCAAATCCCAAATTCTTCCCAGGACCCAATAGCTTGATCCCTACCTCTGCCTCAGTCCCAGAAACCGCCCCGGCCACCCACCTCTCTTCACCCCTGGTTTCAATTTCTTCCACTTTCAGTTCGCCTATTGGCTCGACACCCTACCACCACCAACAACCCTCTCTCCCCCAGTGGCCACTCCCTTTGTTCATCAGCCCCAAATCAATTCTCCACCTGATGCAAGAGGAGCGTGCAGAAGAATCTCAGAATCCCTAAATACAGATAGAGGCCGTTTAGTCCATCGCATCCACACCAACCCTCTGAACAGCATCCCATCCAGACCCTATCCCCCACCCCCACATTTACGTGGCTAACCTACCTCGTCGGCACATCCCTGGACACTATGAGGCAATTTAACATGGCTGATCCACCTAACCTGCAGATCTTTGGACTGTGGGAGGAGACCAGAGCACCCGGCAGAAATCCACGCAGACATGGGGAGAACATGCAAATCCCACACAGTCAGTCACCCAAGGCAGGAATTGAACCCAGGTCGCTGATGCTGTGAGGCATTCAGTGCTAACCACTGTGCCAACCATGAACAGCTAAAGTTGTGTAAATCACCAGTGCCCCAAACTGATACAGCTGAAAGCAACTTGAATGCTCTTTACCTGAACCATATTTTCCATCTCTGCTATACCAAATGTACTGTATTTATCAATTATTTCTATCTTTAATGTAATTTTATTGCCTTCCTTCAGTCCTCCCTTGTCTACAACCATCAACACCTACACTGTATAAAAAAAAAAGGAAATAAGTTAGTCAGGTAACTTAATTTCATGAGGAAGTAATATTCAACAGGATTTTAAAAAATAATCCCTAATGTCCATATCGTGTACGTGATTCCTTAAATGCAATCCTACATGATATATCCCCGATAGCTGTTGTTTTGATGATTGCCAGCACTGGTTGGCAATCTCCATTACCTCTGGGCACCAAGGGCAGATTGTACTATGTTAATATGGTTCAGGGCAGTTTGGCACACTGGATTTTGTTGCACAGAGCAAGGCCTTAGCAGTAGAGGTTGCAAAGAAGCGCACATATTTCATCCTGGATGAGAACAGTAGGTTGCTCACCCTGAAGCCAAGGTCACCTTTAAGATTCTCAGCACTTCTACTGTGCTGTTCCAAAAGAGAATGCTGCAGTGATGTGATATGATGTCATGGAAACCTTAGCAAACATTGGAATTCAGAGCAAAGAAACAGCATTTTGAGCCTCCATGTTACTAGTAGGAGCTGCTGTATTAGCTGCCTGAGTTGTCATCAGAGGTTGCCTCATTGTCAATGTCATGTTCATAGAGGTGACAAGTTGCTTCTTGTTGGATTGAACAGTTTCCATGCAGCAAAAACTGGAGCTGAACCTTTTCATGCTAAGCCATCAGCATACTGCGGCAGGAAATCCAATGTACCTCAGATTTAGAGACAGTAGGAACTGCAGATGCTGGAGAATTTGAGATAACAAGGTGTAGAGCTGGATGAACACAGCAGGCCAGGCAGCATCAGAGGAGCAGGAAAGCTGACGTTTCAGGCCTAGACCCTTCTTCATAGGCCCAAAACGTCAGCTTTCCTGCTCCTCTGATGCTGCCTGGCCTGCTGTGTTCATCCAGCTCTACACCTTGTTACCTCAGATTTACTTCTGTATGTTCAGCAGCTTTCCACGGTAGAATGGGACCTTGATGTCTACAATGAATTGTTTTCTGCAGAGTTACTTGATGCACCCTGAGCTGGCACACTTTTTTTTTTAAACTCCCCTGTCCAAGTTCCTTCACAATATGGCCAAGTGATTCACCATTTGGACCCCTCCTTTCACCTACCCTTTAAAAGTATAAGTGGTTCTGATCTCTTAAGCTGGTGCTTGCTACGGCTACAGTTTGCTAAGCACATTGTGTCAGGTGAGAAGAAACAAGGGGAAAGAGAGAACAAAATATTAAAATTTCTGTGTAATATATAGTCTATATTGTGAATTGCCATGGCTATGAGTCGGCCCCTGTCCATTTTCTTCAGGGCGTACAGGTGATCCAACCTCCCCTTGTCAATATCTCCTGCCTCATGTTCTACATGTCCTTCTCCGCCAAGAAAGGAGTGAAACTGACAGTCTTGTAAACCGAGCATCTGATTTGGAGAAGTGAAGATTGCAATGGGACTAAGATTGGAAAAGTGCAGGGAATGTGAGTGTGATAACAGGAAAGTAAGGGGAACTGAGGGCACAGAATATGGGAGCAATGAAGCTGTAGATAAGAAGAGATAGTCACTGAAGTGCAGGCAAGATTCTTACCTTGATGACCTTACCTTGTTTAAAGTAATGAAACTTTTACCAGCCGTAAAGCCATGTTCTGGGATTTAATCTCATGGCATGGACGTCCCTTTCTCCCAGTGGTGACAAAATGCTTCCTGCCATCACCATTTTTATCAACCTCCCCCTATCCTCAAAGGAATGTGATCATCTTCCTCACCACTGCTTGGACCGGAGGCCTGAATGCCACACCTAAAATCTTGGGCGACATCTCGGGGGCCACTCGTACTGAATTTCAATCACCAAAGCTTTTTTACTGTGGTCATGATGTTCCACCTTAAGATGTCCTCCCCTCCCCCATCAAACAAACACGACATCATAACTAACCCATGATAATGAGCTTTCAGCATCGATTACTTTGTTCTGACTTTCCGTGTGATTTTCATTAGTATTACCAAATATTAATGTCTGTACTATATCAAGTCAGGGTACAACACAGGTTTTATTGTGGGTGTGAATGCAGAATCTGGGGGCAGTATTGTGGGAGCTGCACTTTGTGACATCACAAATTTAAAATTAATGTTATGGACCGACAAGCTCCTGCTTGGTAAGCGCAAATTACTGCAAAAATGCTGGAAATTACAGCGGGTCAGGCAGCATCCACGGAGAGAGAGCAAGCTAACGTTTCAAGTCAAGATGACTCTTCATCAGAGCTAACGTGAAGTGTGGAGGAGGCAGCATTTATGTAATATGGGGGGGGTGGGGGGCGGTTGTTGGAGTGCTGGGGGAAGAGAGGATGTTGATAGTTCAGACTAAGTGATCAGAATGTGAGAATGGCAGAACAATGGTGTGTCGAACTGCCAGACTGGAAAGAACAGATAGTCCCACTGGAGGGGAGAAAGGACATGGTGACAGAGAAGGTAACAAGCAAAGTTAAAAGAAAGGGAAAGAATGGGTTCACAATCTGAAGGTGTTGAACTCAATATATTGAGATGAGAGGTTGTGAAATGCCTAGTCTGAAGATGAGGTGTTGCTCCTCCAGTGTTCGCTGTGATTCGCTGGAGCATTGCAGCATGCCAAGGACAGACAAGTCGGCATGTGAGCCGGACGCTGCGTTAAAATGACCGGCTACGGGAAGGTCAGGGTCATGCTTGTGCATAGACTGGAGGTGTTCCGCAAACCGGTCACCCAGTCTGCGTTTGGTCTCTCCAACGTGGAATAGGCCACATTAGGTCTAGCAAATGCAATAGATTGGAGGAGGTACAGGTGAAATGCTGCTTCACCAGGAAAGACTCTTTAGGCTCTTGGATGGTGAGCAGGGAGGTAGTGAAGGGGCAAGTGTTGCCCCTCCCACTATTGCATAAATGCTGCCCCTCCACACTTCACTCCAGCATTTTTTCTTTTCACTCCTGATTGGTAAGTAGTGGTCAGGTGATTTTCTTTTATACTTAGCTTCAATTTCCGTTCATTTTTTTCATACCCATAAGGGTTTAGAGTATTGGGATTTAGACTAGTAGTATGGTAGTACTGCACTGGGGATTTAGAGTAGCACCTAAACTGTTTATAGAATATAGTATATTCAGTATTTTTAAAAGTGAAAATCTAACACTGGGAACCATCTAGTTAGCCATAAATTAATTTTAATAAAAATTTACTTTTAATTAAAAATAGTTACTTGAGGGTAGTATGCTTTCCCTGTGGAATATGGGAAATCAGAGACAGTTTGAACATCCCTGACATTACATCTCTGCAGAAAGTGTATCCAACTGCAGCTCCTTTGAGACCATGTGGAGTGGCAGTTGGACACATTTATGAGCATGCAGGAAGCGGAAAGTGTCATTGACTGGAGTTTTAGAGATGTGGTCACACCCATGGGTCAAGCAAAAAGATGGGGTGACCACCCGTTGGGTGCATTCACAATGGTTTCTTGAAGCAATACGTAAATCATCCAACTTGGTAAGGGACCATATTAGACCTGGTATTTGGGAATGATCCTGGCCAGGTGATCGAAGTTTCAGTGGGGGGGAATTTTGGGAACAGTGACCATAATTCTGTAAGCTTTGAGTTACTTATGGAAAAGGATAAGAGTAGACCTCAGGTAAAATGGGAGGGAAGGCTAACTATCACAATATTAGGCAGGAACTGGGGAATGCAGATTGGGGGTGTCTATTTGAGGGTAAATGCACATCTGTCATGTGGGAATCTTTTAAAGGCCAGTTGATTAGAGTTCAGGACCAGCATGCTCCTGTGAAAGCGAAGAATAAGGATGGCAAGATTCGGGACCAGTGGATAAAAGAAGAGAAATTGTGAGCTTAGAAAGAAAAAAAGGAAGCATACATAAGGTTTAGGAAACTGAAGACAGACCAAGCCCTTGAGGAATATAAAGAAAGCATGAAAGAACATAAAAATGGAGTTATGATGGCTAATACAGGCCATTAAATGACCTTGGCAAATAGCATTAAGGAAAATCCCAAGTGTTTTTATACATATATAATATGCGGGAGCTTCAAAAGAAAAGTTATTTTTCCATTGGATGTGGGCATAGCTGGTTAGATCAGAATTTATTGCCCATCTCTAATCAGAGAAGGTGACGATGAGCTAGCTTTTACCCATTGTTGTTCAGAAGAGAGTTTCCTACTCGATTTTTAACTGACAAGAGAGCTAAAGGACGTGGGGAATAGACAAGAAAATAAAAGCCACAATCAAGTCAGACATGATCTTACCAAATGTCTTGGAATCCCTACAAGTGTGCAAACAGGCCCTTCGGCCCAACAAGTCCACACCGACTCTTACAGCATTACACCCAGACCCGTTCCCCTATAACCCACCTAATCTACACTTCCCTGAACACTATGGGCAATTTAGCATGGCCAATCCACCTAGCCTGCACATCTTTGGACTGTGGGAGGAAACCCCCCGCAGACACGGGGAGAACGTGCAAACTCCACACAGACAGTCGCCCGAGGGCAGAATCGAACCCAGGTCCCTGGTGCTGTGAGGCAGCAGCGCTAACCACTGAGCCACCATGCCGCCCAAATGGTTGAGCAGACACAAAGAGCGAAATGGCTTGATTCTCATTCTAATTCAGACGTTCATTATTTCATCAGTTTAGAATGTTGACTGAGAGACTATGAAGGAAAGACAATAGAGTTCCATACATATTTTCCCTTGAAGATATGTTATGAGCAGTATTCTCATGTATCCATTGCCTTCATCCTTCTAGGCAGCAGAGATTGCAGGTTTGGAAGGTGTTGTTGAAGCAGTCTTGCTTGGATGCTGCAGTGCATCTTGTAGATGGTACACACTGCTGCTACTGTGCATCAGTGGTGAAGGAAATAAATGCCGGAGGTGGTGAATGGGGTGCCAACCAAGCAGTTTGCCTTGTCCTGGATGGAGTCAAGCTTCTTGAGTAGTTTGTGGGAGCTGCAATTATCCAAGCAAGTGTATAACATTTCATCAGACTCCTATGCCTTGCAGATAGTGGACAGACTTTGGGAAATCAGGTGGTGAGTTACTTGCTGCAGATTTCCTAGCCTCTGAAATGTTCTTGTAGCCATAGCACTTTTCTAGCTGGTCCATTTCAGTTTCTGGTCATCAGGATAACGATTAGGAGACAGTGGGAGATTCAGCGATGGTAATGTCATTGAATGTAAAGGGAAGATTGGCGGATTCGCTGTTCTCGGAGATGTTTATCACCTGGCAATTGTGCACTACGAATGTTACTTGGCCAGGTCCTGCCGAATTTGGACCTGGATTGCTTCACTATTTGAAGAGTCGTGGCTGGTGTTAAATATTGTCTAATCATCAGTAATCATATCCCCACCTCTGACTTTATGTTGGAATGAAGATCACTATGAAACAGTTGAAGATATTTAGGCCTAGGACAATACTCTGAGGAACTCTTGCAGCAATGTCTTGGGACTGTGATGATTGACCTCTAACAACCACAGCCATTTTTATTTATGCTAGATATGACTTTCACTAATGAAGAGGTTTCATTGTGGCTTTAATTTTGTTAGGGTTCCTTGATGTTATACTCAAATGTTGCCTTGATTTGAAGGATAGTTACTCTCTCCTCACCTCGAGTTCAGCTCTTTGTCCATGTTTTTTAAACAAAAGGTTGTAATGCAGCCAGGGGCTTTGTGGCTCTGACAGAACTCTAAGTGAGCTTCAGCAAGCAAGCTATCATTGTTTAAATGCTACTTGATAACATTGTTGATGACCCATTCCACTGGTTTGCTTAAAATTGCAGTGCTCAGCACCATTCACAACATAGTGTCTCTTTTAAGGCAGGGGTGTACATTCTGAGATTTCAGCAAGTGGCTAGAGAATTTATTCAGGGCATCAAGATGTCTAGCTAATGGCACAGCAGGATAGAGCACAAGCTCCTAGCTGCAGTACTGGATTACAGCAGTGAAGGAGACGTCCTTTGTCCATAGTGAGCCAGGAGGTTTTTCCAGATCATATCTAAGCAGACAGATGGCTGTTGCAGTCAAACCAAGTAGAATAACTAAGCAGAAGACCTGGATGCAGCAGCACAGATTTATTGACCTCAAACAACTGATGCTCATAACAAGAACTATATTTCAACATATATTTACCTGCAAGAGCACACATGCGTAAGGGACTAACAAGTAAGTCTCCAACTGCGAAAATTAAACCATTGAACCACTGGCTGTTACTTTTGCTTAATTTACTATCCCACTTCACTCAACTAAGAACAACCTCTCGCAATAATAACTCATACCTCTATTCATAGCTTCACTTTACATTCAAATGCAAGCATTATTGCAAGCCTTACATTCACATCTCTCAGCATGCACATATTTACTGCTATTCATTCCATAACAGGCACGTCACCCAAACATTTACTGACATACTTCCATCGCTCTCCTGCAGGATAAAACCAGAAGCAACAGCATTTAACCAGCAGGAGACAGACAACGTGCATCCTTAATCCATGGAGAAAAGACTGTTCATTATCACTGGAGCAGCTTTGACAGAGGCTGCTGTTATGCTCACACTCAATCCTTCTCTTCATGATATGTTCTAATTTAAAAGCTGTGCATTATGGAAGCACGTATCACTTGCTTTTCTTTACACCCATCAATGCAGATTTCCTACCCTAAAGGACATTAGTGAGTTAGATGGGTTTTTATGACAATTGATGGCAGTTTCATGGTCTCCTACTGAGACATTGAGGGAAAAAAAAATACTTGAACCACCAAGGTGCTGTTGAATATGTTGTTCAATGCTGCATAATGCATGGCTCTGAGAGATATATCATGAATATATGCTTACCACAGAGAGGCATTTTCTTTTTCCAGCCTATTGTATTCCTTTTCCAATGATTCAATTTGTTGTGTCAAAGTCTCAATTTTGGCCTGCAATTCTTTCACGCGTGTTGCCTTTGATTCGCGGGCAGCTAGAATTGCATCTAAACAAAAAGCAAACAGTTTTAGCCTTTAAGAAAGAGAATAATCTTAGTGAAACTTGAGGCAGTTCTGTATTTGAAAGCTTCCTTTTTTTAAGCTCCTCTCACCCCATAGGGTATTAAATAAAAATTAGCAAAAAAAAAAAACTGCCTGAACATTGAGGATATCTTTTAAAAAATTTTCTTTGGATGATGCTAACATGGCTCTGGAATCCCTAAGTACTGCAGAAAATGGTGAAGAACCGCCTTTGTCCTCGTTCTGATGATGCTCATAACAAGAACTATATTTCAACATATATTTACCAGCAAGAGCACTCATGCGTAAGGAAATAACAAGTAAGTAACACTTGAATTGGACATCTCACTGATGAAGTTAATATAGTTGACCATTTGGAATGTTGAGTGATTTGTTATTACAACTCATTTAAAATAAAACAATTGCCAATGGCTGACAAGCATCTCTTATGACTGGAAAGTTATGGATTTAAGCACGTTACATAATTAACAAGTATATCTTGATTTTACTGAGATATTTCACACCGAGAACATCAGAGAAAACCCAAGGTTCCTTCCGATCTCAACAATCATAAAGAAAGCAAATGTAGTTTTAAGAAGTTTAAGGCTATCCATAACTGAAAGAAACATCAGATAATAATATTCCTAAGAACAAAACTGTCTTAGGCGAAACCACAGGAATTATCAAGAGCATACTTCTTACGTTGTTCTACAAACTTCAAGACCTCCTGACACATTTGTTTTTAGAAGCAACAGTATTTCTGTCTGTTGCATGAAGCCTGTTGTTGCGTGGCTGACATCCAAAACTGATCAAGTGGTCAAAATATTTTTGTTTATTCCAACTTCAGCAATCTCTGAACATATAGATTTCAAATACGCTAGACCAAGGATTCCTTTCACACCTGATCTATTCTTTGAAGATGCTCCCAGTAGTTCAACATGGTGGCAATTATATTACATAATTACATTATAGAAGTAATCCAAATTGATGTTAATTTGGGTATTGGTTTTCTCGTGGTCTGAAAAGACATTAACCTGGTCAAGCTTGAAACAAAACTTTCTGGAATTCTGGTATGACCTAACATGAAGTGAATAGCCACCATCAGGAAGATGGTAACTGAAATGGAGACTATCATTTAGCCTTGCTCAACCTCAGTCAGGATTTTGAAGAGATCTGCTTCAGATTTACCAGTCAAAAGAGTTGCATGATTGTGCTGACATTTCTTGGGCATCCAATCATTGGAATCAAAATTCGCCGAGTCTTGCAATTTACTGAGTTACCTGCATTGATCAGGTTGTGTAGTGATTGCTACAAGGTCAGCCAGCTGGACCTCAGAATATAAGTTCCCTAATTGGGGCTGTTAATTTGGTCCAGTCAGGGAGCCTTGATTGACAGATATAAACAGGAGTCTCAGAGGTTCTGTTCGCTCAGCTGGCTCATAGAAAGTTGGATCAGTGTCAAGGACCTTGCTCTTGTAAATACAGGGTGACATGGTGACAGGATATCAGCCTCTGTGCAGTTATTTCAGGTTGACGAATGCAATGAAGAGTTTCTGGCTCTAAAGAAAAGCCACTGGACTTGGCTCTCTCTCTCTGTCTCTCTCTCTCTACAAATCTTGCAAGATCTACAGTTTCTTTGGCATTTTCCAGTTTTATTTCAGCACCTACAATATTTTGCTTTTATTAGAAGATTTCCTGATCTTACTCTTGATATTTCTTTTGGATTTGTCTGGCAATGAAGACCATGCCAGAGGTTAATTTGGAAGGTAAAAAGCCATATTTAGCCTCTGGCAGGAGGTCTTCAGCCATTGGAAGCACGTGATTCAAGAGAATTCCTATCGGGATCTCTGCTATAGACAAGAGAGAGATTAAACTTGATAGCTTCCACAACAGAAGAACAGGAATAGGCCATTCAGTCCAACTGGCTTGTAATTCTATCAAAAAGATTGCAGCTGATCGTTCACTTCAATCTCACTTATACATCATACCCACAATCTTGTATGCCATTTGTAATTAGAAATCTCAACATACACAAAAAAGTCCTCCACAGCCCTCTGTGGTAGAGATTTCCAAAGATTCACAATCCTTTGTGTAATAAAGTCCTCATCTCAGGCCTAAGTGACACCCCCCCCTACTTTTAACTTGTGACCTCAGCTCTAGACTACCCAACCAGGGGAAAGATTTTAAGTTCATCTATCCTAACTACTCATTTAAGTACTTTGTAAGTTTCAAGAAGATCACCCCAGTATCCAATAACAACCTGCAAACAAATGCCACATGGGGTTGGTGCAGTTTTAGCAAGGTGATTAAACTGGCATTAGGACTCAGTTTCAATGAGTTCCCATGACTTGGAAGCGGTTTGTCTTCTGGTTATCTTTAGGTTTCCAAAGGTTTGAAATAATCACATTTTAGGATGGAAAGGGTAGAGATTTTTTATTTAATTTTAACATGCTATGATGCTAGTCAGCAGTCCTGTCTCCAATGCAGCCATTTTGACCATTGGAATTCATAGATTTGGTCCTTGGCTAATTAGTTGCTCAATACAGACAACAGAAGATCGCACTTATTTTAAAACGTAATGCCCCTTGTCACGATAAGTGTTAGCATTATTAATGTTGTAAAGTGGAGGGTGACCCCCTTCTGAGAACTATAACAGAAACACCCAAAAAGGAGCACCTTGCCCTATAATCTGTAAAAAGTGAGAGGAAAGTGGTGTAACTTGCCTTTCAGCAACTTCTAGTGGTCAAATAAAATAATTCACTGATACTCTCTTTAAAATCAATAGGTAACAATAACTCTAACAGTGAACAAATTAACTAAACTATTAACAAACTGAATAAACCCCTTCTAACTACTAACTATAACTGAATAAAAATAAGATTCTAATGTTATGATGTTCCAATAAATACAAGTTCCGCTTACATTAAAAAAATAGAATTTAGCCTCTCGAAATTGCAGCCAGGTTACATGTCTTCTGGCATGCTCTGTGCCTTCTCAGTTGATTCTTTTGTCAGGAATATTCACTAGTTGTACCATAGGTACCTTTGTTCTTTAGATAGTGCTTTCTCTAAGACTTAGAGCCAGCAATTCTTTCTTGAAAGCTGAGGGTTGTTAACTCTGGTGTTTGGCAGTTAGCTCTCCAGACTTTGCCCAACTGTCCCTTCTTTTATACCCTCGATGACATATCAATTTCTTGCAATAGGATTCATCTTATGTTGTCAAAACCATCAGTTTTAAATTTAATTGGTCTTTGGTATCTAAGGGCCTGGTTCAAATTGATTGGCTAAATTCAAAAACATGTTTTCTTGGTAAAAACTGCTGCTTGGCCCGCTAACTGTATGGCCTTTTGATACAAGTGTTTCAATTCTGGTGCTCTCTGTGTATTTGCAAACTTTCAATTTGCTGCTCACAGACATTCTTTTTAAATCTCTAACCATAGAAAAAGCACATCATCTTTTAAAGGGACCACACAATGCTTTCTCCCCTACAATTTCACAAATACCAAATTCTAACTTACTACCTCCTAATCCACAAGCACTAAAAGAATGAACCATCATTGTGAAAAGATGGCTTCATTTTTTTTTTTAAAACCTTAACTTCATTATGTTACGAGATCCATAGTTCATTAACCTAGACTTACACATTTTATACTAATTCACACACAGACACCTTTTCTACCTTATATACTCTTCTTTTTAAACTTGCAATAAAACATCCGCAATAATACTTTCACAACCCGCAACATGTACAATCCATAAATCAAATGCTTGCAACATAAGAATCCAGTAAAATAATCTGGTGTTCTTGTCCTTAAATCTTTCCAGAAATGTCAAAGGATTGTGATCAGTATACACAATTGTCTTTGATGCATTGTTTGTTAAGGCCATTACCAAACTCAATAACTTACTTTCAATGGTTGAATATTTTTTCTGGTGGATATTGAGTTTTTAAAAAAAAAAAACTGATTGGCCCTTCAATTCCACAATCATTGTCCTGTAACAACACAGGTCTAACACCTATATTGCTTGCGTTGATGGCGACCTTGAAGGGTTTAAAAAAATTAGGCATGGCTAAAACTTGTGCAGTGGTTCACACTGCTTTTAAATTCTCAAATGCCTCCTGGCATTGTTCTATCCACCGAAATTGCGTGTTTTTTTTTAATAAATCCGTCAACAGTGCCACCATGCTACTAAAGTTTAGTATAAATTTCCTGTAGAATCTGCTTAATCCTAAAAATCGTAGCACTTCTTTCCTCAGAGATGGTCTTGGAAATTCCTCGATGGCCTTCGTTTTCACATTCCTTGGTGTCATCCATCCGTATCCAATGCTGTGCCCTAAGAATGTCACTTCCTGTTTCGTGAACTCTGTTTTTGCCAAGTTTATGTCTAACGTTGCTTCAAACTTTCTCTTTTGTTTTCCCTTCTTGTTTTAACTGATGGCTGTGGGATATTGTCACCATACAGTCCAGAAAAATTCTAGGGTAGTTTTCTTTTGGCTTCTCCATTACAATGGGCATCACTCATACCTGTGGTCCAGCTGTATTGTTTCCAAAAACAAACTGTATAGCTGAATAGCTAATTTTTCCATCACTCCCACTGTCACTTCCCAGGTCTTGATTGGGCTTTCTAGCCTTATCTTAAACAGGGGAACACTAATCCTCTCTCCATTTATTCCACAGATGATCACTTTCTCCAGCAATATTTCAGAAGGAGTGCAAATATTTTCATCTCTTACTATCAGAGACTGATTAACTCCCGTATCTCTCAATATTTTAACTTCTTCACCTACTCCCCTGTTCTACCCGAGTAAATCTTACCCATACAGGTGAAGTCTTTGAAAAGATTGGGTGCGATCTTACTATCCAGCCCGTGACTAGGTTATGCACTCTTCTGCAGCTCCTCGACTTCTCTTGGGATTTTCTTCACTACCTCAACTAACTCACTGGTTTAGCCTCTTTTACCACATCTTTTTTCCCAGTGCCTTTCTTA